TTCCTCTGTGCTCTCATGATACTTTCCACATACATCAATTTTAACAGCGACTACCCTCTCCTATAATTGTCTATAACTGTTTTAGTCCTCACTGGACTATATTTTTCTCTAGAACAGGGATTATTTTTGCTTCTGTCCCTAGGGCCTAGCATGGTGTCTGGCATTGGCTTGGCACTCAGTAAATGTTGACCAACAGTGGAATAAATGAAGGAATATGAAGCAAATGTCTTAACCTCTCAGTCTTAGTTTTAATATCCTTGAAATGAAAGCAAGTTAAACACTCAGCAATGTTAAATGATGGATAATGAATGTAAAACAAATGTCACCATCATTGACTAAGTTGCCCAAGCCAAAAATAGGGAATCACACAAAATTTCCACTTCTCTCATTTTTTCCCCTCCCCACAGCTAACCAGTCACCATGGCTTGTTGAACCAGGCTGAAGACCTTGTTAAGAAACTCTGGGTTACAGGGGAATTTCCATTAGGCCAGAGCTGTCGGGAAGCATGGGAGGCAAATGGTATTGGAGGTAGGGAGTCTTTAAGGAAAAGCAGCAGGAGGAGAGACTCATAGGTCACAGGAAGAACAGATAAGGGATCCAGGAGAAGGGAGACATCAGACTGAGTCCTGGGGACATAGAAACCACTCAATTCTGTGCCCTCAAGAAATCCTGGTGGGCTGAGGAAACAAATAGAGACAAATGAGGCTGTAGTAGAGTAGGCCTCCTTCCTGATAGCCCTGCTTTACTTGGCTTACAGGATATCACCCAGCTTGCCTGCTTTTCTACTTATATTTTTGGCCTTCCCTGTTTGTTCCTTCTCATTTGCTGCTTCTCCTAGTTTCCTTAAATGCTCAGTGTTGAAGAAACTATTTTCCATCTACAGTCACCCTTTGATGATCTCATCTAGTTTCATGGCTTTAAATGCCATCCATGTGCTGATAACTCCCAAACTGATATCTCTAGTCTAGATCTCTCCCCTGACCTCAGACCTCCTGCCCCTTCCTCCTCCTGCCCTCTCATCATCTGTACTCCAATGAACATTTCAAACTCCACACAGCCAAAAATGAGCTCCAGATAGTTCCCTCCACAAAACAACATCTCCCTTGTCTTTCCCATCTCAAGAAATGGTAACACTGGTCTTCCAGTTGTTCAGTCCAAAAGTTGGCTCCTTTCTTCCTGATACTCTGCATGCAATCTGTCAGCAAGCTCTCTTGTCCCTACCCTTTAAATATATTCAGAATTCAACTTCTTTTTTTTTTTAAGATTTTATTTATTTATTTGACAGAGAGAGAGAGATTACAAGTAGGCAGAGAGGCAGACAGAGAGAGAGGGGAAGCAGGCTCCCTGCTGAGCAGAGAGCCCCATGCGGGGCTCAATCCCAGAACCCTGAGATCATGACCTGAGCGAAGGCAGAGGCTTAACCCATTGAGCCACCCAGGCGCCCCCAGAATTCAACCACTTCTTATCCCCCATCTCTGGATTATTGTAACAGGACCAGTTGGTCTCCCTGCTTCTGCCACTCTCCCTCCTGAATTTGTTCTTTGTCAAACAGCCAGAGTAACTATGTTAAAATGTAAATCAGATTGTGTGGATCCTCTGCTCAAAACTCTTTACAGGATTCTCGACATGGAGTAAGAGCTAAAGTCATCATTATGACTTGCAAGGCTGTACTATCTGGCTCTGGCTACCTCTCTGTCCTCATCTCCTGCTCTCACTACAGTACACTAAGCTCCAGCCATTCTAGACCCTTTGTATTTGCTCCCTCTCTGAAGTGCTCTTCTCTAAATATCAGAATAGTGCGCCACCACCCAATCTTTTTCTTCAGACCTTAACTCAAATCACATTCCTAGTAAGGTTTTCCTTGGCCCCCGCCTAGGTAAAATAAAACCTTTCCCCTCCCCGCTTCTCAGATTTCTTTTTTCTCCTTGGTATCTACTGCAGTCTTAAAACTATAAATTTTGTTTATCTATCTTCTTTATTGTTTATCTCTCCCATTAGAGTGGAAGCTGCATGGAGATTTTTGGGGGGTCTGTTTTGTTCACTATTGTATACCCACTACTTAGACTAGTAACAGTCATATATATAGTAAGGCACTCAGTAGGTGTTTGTTGAATGAATGAATGAATGAATGAATGAAAGAAAAAGGTGGACATTTGCAAGAGGCAAATTTTACTCTTTTTTTTAAAAAAAGATCTTATTTATTTATTTGTCAGAGAGAGCGAGAGAGAGCATGTACACAAGCAGGCAGAGAAGCAGGCTCCCTGCTGAGCAAGGAGCCTGATGCGAGACTCCATCCCAGGACGCTGGGATCATGACCTGAGCCGAGGGCAGCGGCTTAACTGACTGAGCCACCCAGGCGTCCCGGCAAATTTTACTCTTTAATGAAAAATTTTATGGGCGGGGCGCCTGGGTGGCTCAGTCGTTAAGCGTCTGCCTGTCTGCTTTGGGCTCAGGTCATGGTCCCGAGGCCTGGGTTTGGGCCCCGCATTGGGTTCCCTGCTTGGCAGGAGGCCTGCTTCTCCCTGTCCCACCCCCCCGCCACCCCCACCCCCGCTTGTGTTCCCTCTCTGGCTGTCTTTCTGTCAAATTAAAAAAAAAAAGAAAAGAAAAAAGAAAAGAAAAGAAATAAAAATCTTAAAAAAAACAAAACAAAACAAAACTTTATGGGCGCCTGGATGGCTCAGTCGGTTAAGTGTCTGCCTTGGGCTTGGGTCATGATGGGATGGAGGACCACATCCGGCTCCCTGCTCAGCTGGGAGTCTGCTTCTCTCCTTCCTTCCAGCTTGTGCTCTCTCTCTCAAATAAAAATAAAATTTTTTTTTCAAGATTTTATTTATTTGTCAGAGAGAGAGGGAGAGCAAGCACAGGCAGACAGAATGGCAGGGAGAGGCAGAGGGAGAAGCAGGCTCTCCGCCGAGCAAGGAGCCCGATGTGGGACTCGATCCCAGAACGCTGGGATCATGACCTGAGCCGAAGGCAGCTGCTTAACCAACTGAGCCACCCAGGCGTCCCTAAAAATAAAAAAGAAGAAAAACTTTATAACAACTAGAGCTGGTTGGAAACGTAATGTTAATATACACAGTACTCTACCACTTAAACATGTAATTTCGTCAAATCCTCACATCAGTCCAGGATAGGAGGAAGGCTGCAGTTTATGAGACTAGTTGAAGAGGAAACTGAATCCAGGTTGGGAGAAAAAGGGACTTGTTAAAGTTCACACATTGGGTGGGGCCAGGAGTGGAATTGTGGATGATTGCTAGTCCTTGACGAGGCTGGTGAGTGATGGAGCTTAATGGGGGTTGGGATTGCTGGATTGCCGGTTTACAAGAAGGCATGAGCTCTGAAGGGGAGGCTGAGTCAGAGGTTACTGTACCAGAAGCATCAGCATAGGACTGGGAGAGATGACGAAACTGACCACGAAGGTATTAGGGCAGCTTACTTCCCCAAAAGCAGTGCCCTGAGGCTGACTAGTCAGTCACTCAAACGAACGCAGAACTGGACAGGCAATCTTAAGAAACCAGTGAGTCCGCGGTGGGTCTGCAGAGTCTGGCTTCTCCGCTGGACTGTGAGGTCTATGGGGGCAGGGACCGTGTTCTAGATTTATCCCCAGGTTCTAGCAGAGCCTGGAATATAGCAGGGACTCAATGATTTCTGCAGAAGTCATACATAATTCAGTGTATGCGCCCAAACAAACTGAAGTTGAGAAGGAACAGACGGAAGAGGCGTAATATCACCCAGCGATCTCGGGGTAGAAGCAGACGAATTTTCCTGGGACGCGGCAGGACAAATAGTCCTAGTACTAAAGCCGGTTGCTGCCAGCTATTTTTCCGCAGGGGTTGGCAAGCCGATCCTGGCCAGGAACGAAGGGGCGGGGTTAAATAGGGCCTTTGGGGAGGGTCCAGGCTGGAGAGGCCGAAGGGCGGAGGCTCAAGGAGGGGCCAATAGAGTAGGCAAATTTCCAAGCTCAACGTTGTGATTGAAGTGTGTAACGTCACATCCGGTGTGGTGGGCGGGAGCGGGAAACAAAAGAAAGCCAAGGCGCACGCGCTGGTGCTGCTAGGGTTCTGGCGGGTTCTTCCGCTCAGACCGAGAGAAGTGCTTCCGGGTCGCCGCCGGCTACCGCCTCCTGGTGCGGTAAGTACAGACGCCAGGCTGCGGCCGCTGTCTCCCTGCCGCTTCTCTTCGCCCTCCCCCAGAGAAAATCCGTGGCCCTGCCGCGGCTCCTCAGGTCCTTCAGTTCAGACTCCTTTTAACAGTAAAGAGCTCCAGCTCATTGGCGCTTCGTCGAGGCCAAGCCCCACCCCGTCGCCCAAGATCCGTCACTCATTGGTGTCACTTTCTGTCACCCAGCATTTCTTCCAGTTAATTGGCCCTATTCAGGCCCCGCTCCTTTCGCGATTGGTAACCCTATAAGGGCAAATGCCTTTTCGAATCCCGCCCCTGCATTCTTCGTGTTGGTCCACCCCGCAGTCATTATCATAATAAGCGAAGAATGGGCGGTGGCTTGGTGGCGAGGGGTGGGCTTTCCGAGCCTCAGTCTAAGTGGCCTCTCCTACTTAGGGGACGTGAGCTTGGGTGCTGTTGTGCTGGTGTCATGGGACGGGAAGCCGAGATTCACGGAAGGGCAGCGGCTGGCCCAGTGTCGGTCAAATGAGTTTAGGGTAAAAGCAGAACTAGACGTAGGTCCTTTTCTCCTGCTCATCTCCTCTAGTGCCTGGCCTCGATTTCTTCCCCGTGGGAATTCAGTGCCCCAACTCGTGATCTAGAGCCCGTCGTTGCCTGTCGCAGGGCCTCAATTTTCATGTGAGGTGAAAGACTTTAATTCAGATTCTCTGGGACCTTTTGGTCAGCCCCCTCAGCTGCTTAATCCTTGCCGAATTGACTTATTTTCTCACATGATAGTTCATTCAGCCTTCCATTTACTTATCCATTTACTCATGCCTTTCTGAACCATACTGCACGTGGAACACCCCCCCCCCCCAGTTTAGCTGTCGTTCATGAGAGAGGTGATTAGTGTCCTAAATTTCTGACAGGGGTTAAGTATGGTAGGGATCATCATAGAGGGGCAAGAAGTAGGTTTTACTGTTTGGAGGAGGAAAAGATAGTGTCAGTGGAGCCTTGTTCTAATTTTGCCTAATTTTGTAGTGTTGGTCTGCATTCTGGATTCATAGCTCTACATTTGGGTTCCATTCTCTTCCCCGCCTTGACCAGTTTAAACACTTTACTTCTCCATAAAGGGAATTAATTATCAGAATAACTATGAGAGTGTAGTATAATTGTTATTCCCCATTTTACAGATGAGGAAACTGAGGCTCAGAGAGGTTAAGTGACTTGGCCAAGGTCAAAACAGCTAGTAAGTGGGGGAGCAGGATTCAAACCCAGGTCTATCTAATTCCCACCAAGAAGAGCTATTTCCCTGCCACCTTCTTCTCCACCTCACCCCCAAATTAAACTGTAACCAAATAAAACCCCAACCAAAGACACCTGACAGCTGGATTTCACCTGGCCCTTTACCTCAGTCTAGGAGCCATGTCCACCTTGTTTCCCTCACTTTTCCCCCGTGTGACGGAGACACTGTGGTTTAACCTGGATCGACCCTGTGTGGAGGAGACAGAGCTACAGCAGCAAGAACAACAGCATCAGGCCTGGGTGAGTAAGGACCTAACACGGTGGTGGAGCCTCAGTCAGGGAATAGCTTTTTGCCCTGAGTTGGGAATAATCAAGCTGGGAGGAAGGAGGGCTCGCTTCACATCTTTGTAGGACTCTGATTTACTGTGGGCCCATTAGACTTCTGGGCCAGACTGGAGCCCAGGCTCTTTTCCCTAAAGCATAGGACATAATTTTGACTTTATTGAGGACCTCGTAGATGGGATATTCTAAAATGATAGTTTCTCACTTCATCCTCACCATAATCTTATGAGGAAACCACAGCCCAGAGAATTTATGTAGTTGGATCAAGTTTATAAGTAAGTGGCAGATGACAAGAGACAGAGGGATTGATTTCTTTCTGGAAACTGGAAGGAAGCTTCTCCACACTTGAGGGGTCATCTTAGGGGCACAGTGGGCTAGTCCCGTGTCCCTGACCTCTCCTGCTCAGGCCCTGACCCTGCTCTTCTCCCATTTTGGCCACAGCTCCAGAGCATCGCAGAGAAAGACAACAACTTGGTACCTATTGGCAAGCCGGCCTCAGAGGTGAGTGGTTCCAGCAGGTAGGGCTTGTGTGGGGCCCAGGTGGACTAAGGCTCTGCTCTACTTCTGAAGGTCCTGCTTCTGACCCCTGAGCAGTTGTGGTCCTCAGCTCTGGGTGGAGGCTCTAAAGGGGAGGTAGAATAAGTAGCCATTGGACTCAGCACTAAGGTCCTGCAGAACATGCATCTGCTTGCTAGACTCAAAGGGGTGGGGCATGGTTGGGGAATGGAGGGTCATTCGTTGTTCCCAGAGACTGGCTTCAAGTGGAGCAGCACTTGAACTGGTCCAGACAGCCCTATAGAGCCTATAGGCTCTCCCCTGCCTCACCAGCACTATGATGACGAGGAAGAGGAGGATGAAGATGATGACGAAGATAGTGAAGAAGACTCAGAGGATGATGAGGACATGCAGGACATGGATGAGATGAATGACTACAATGAGTCGCCTGATGATGGAGAGGTCAATGAGGTAGGCAGGGGTGTGGGGAAGGGCCCCTGCCCCTGACCTAACTGGTGCCCAAGGGGTACAGAGACTCTGGTTCCAGACGGGCTGGATCTGGTACTGGGGCTGGCCGGGTGGCTGAGGCCCCTTCCCACCCACACCAGCCTTCTCTCCAGGTGGACATGGAAGGCAACGAACAGGATCAGGACCAGTGGATGATCTAGGTAGACAAGGCAGGGTGGCCTCAGGGAAATTCCAGGCCAGCCCAACTTACCCTGCATCCCCTGCAAAACCAGCTGATTTCCCCAGTGTCTGAAAGCTCACCCTTGGGTATCTCTTCAGCTGCTGCCAGGAACTGGTCTCCTTGGCCCCTCCCAGGCCATCACTTTGCCCTGGATTCCCCAGGGCCTGAGCCCAACCCACCTTTCTGCCTAGTACTTCACCCTTTGGTTGCCAGGTATAGTCTCTTTCTAACTCCCTTTAATAAAGACACAGGACTGATTCCCCCCAACCCCCGTGTCTATTCCCTATTTGTTGGTGGGGCCTGGAGGAATCCAGCACCTTCTCTTGAACTTCAGGGAGAGGGCACACAGGGGACTTCAGGCAAGCCTACTTGAGCATGTGGTCCAGGGCTAAGGAAGGCCAGGGTGGCCCTGGCCCCAGGCTCCATTACCATTTTCTCTGGCCCAGATTATATTCATACATTCCTTCAGAGCCTCTCTGTTTCCTCTGACCCCACCTGGAACTGCATGGGCTGGGGAGGGCTGGCTTTCTGAGGCCCAGAGCTGGAAGGCCCCTGGAACTCTTCCAGCCAGCATCCTTGGTGTTAAGAAAGCAGATTAAATCTCAGAGCAACACAGGGACTCCTTTGGAATCACCCAGAAAATCAGTGATAGAGTTGGGTTGGGAGCTTAAGACTCTTGCCTCTTAATCTGTGACTTGCTCTGGAAGGAGAGGGGCCAGTGGGACCAAGCAGTCTGACAGAACTTGATGCCTGAATCAGTGTGGAACAGGATGGGAGGCCACAGGTGGGAGGACAACCTCCCACCACCCTGAGCCCAGCACGTGTCAGGCCACAATCGGGGAGGGGAGGGGATGTTCTGCGGTCCTTGCTTGGGTGGGGGTGGAGGGGCAGCAGTAAGTACCCCTGGGCCCGGACCTTAGCTAGGCCCTGTATAGGTGAGCTGGGCTATGCCATCCTTTATAGCAGGGAAGTCTGGGAGGCCAGTGTGGTGGAGGCGGCAGCGGTAGCGGCCACAGTTCTTGGCATACTGCAGGAAGCGAGGTGCACCCGGGAAGAGCACGTGGTCAGCCAACACAGTGGCACCAGCTGGCAGCAGGGCATGGGCCTCCAGCAGCTGCAGGTCTCGCAGGTAACATCGGGGCCGGTGTGCCAGGAGCACCATGTCTGCCTGGTTCAGCAGGTACTGGGTTTGTAGGCGTGGGATCACCTCCTCTGAGCTACTCACAATGAGCTCCACCTGTGGGGGAGAAGGAGCTGGAGGTGAGGGTGGGAGAGACTGTTCTCCCATACCAGACTCTTGCATGATCTGGCTTACTTTACGCCAGGTCCTGGCCTAGGACCCCACGAGTGTTCACACATTTCCTCTATCATCAGAACAAACCCAAGAGGTCATCATCAGTATTGTGATTTCCATTCTGTCAGTGATGAAGCTGAGATTCAGGGAATAAGTGCTTTGCCCAAGGTCATAAAGCTCACAAGGGGTAGACTGAAGCTTTGGACCCTGATTTGCTGGGCTCCAGAGACCCTCCTCTTAACTGCTCCTTTGTCATCCAGCAGCAAATATGAGCAAATGACGTGGAACAGAAGGGCAGGAATTCATGAATCACCCAGGGTCACAGTCCCCTATGTGGAGCTGCTGCCTTCTCCTAGGTGGGATTCCCTCACTGGAGAGGCCTGGCTCGGGCAAGGCTGGGCATGGGAGAGAAGAGACAAGGGTCTGGGAGGTGGGGGCTGACCGTGCGCTCGTCGAAGCCAGCCAGGCGGATGAGTTTTTCAGCCACTACTGCCATGCGTGGGTCCCACTCCACGGTGAGAAGGCGGCCCTCGGGCGGCAGGGCACGGGCAATAAGCAATGTAGAGTACCCGCAGTGGGTGCCCAGCTCTAGCACGGAAGCAGGGGCCCTCTCCTCCACCAGCCGCATCAGGATCTGACCTGGGGGAAAGACGGCTGTTGCAGCAAATGTGGGAGATGGATGTAGGACCCCTGACAGAAAGGGATCTCAAATGGCCACCTGCCTCACTGCAACCCCCAGCCAGCTGGGGTCTTCTCAGACTATAGTTCCAGCTGCTCCACTGGTCCTCTTCCCCCTCCCGGCTTGTCTCCTTCACTCTTTTCTTCATACCACCCATCAGGCATCTTTCCAACAAACAAATCTGACCCTTTGTTCCTTGGTTCCTATGATCCTCAAGGCCTTTGAGATTGAACTTGAGATCCTCAGCCTGACATTCAGGACCTTCTTGGACCCGATCCTAGCCAACCTTTCCAGTTCTTCCCATCTGTAGCCTGTATCAAAGCCCTCCCGTACACTGTGGCCAGAATCAGCCAAGTCAGTGCTGACTCATTCCATCCTGCTGCGTTAGTATATGTGGCTGGTTTTGCCCCTCCCCACCCCTGTGTTTATCTGCTTGGCCAAGCTGGAAGCAATTCTAGGCTGTGTGTAAGTGTTGCTTCCTCCAGGAGGGCTCAAGTAGAAACAACCAACCGAAACCTTTGCTGGAACTTCCCAGTTTCATCCCCCCTTGTTATATTCATTGAATATCTTTCTAACCTTGGAATTTGAAAAATTTCTTCAGACTCTAAAAGCACTTGTGCCAGAAGCTGGGACTCAGACAAAGCCAGGCAGCTACCCTAAATGGGATGTGGGAGACTCCACGGTGTGGGGAGAAATATTTAGGACAGGTAATTACAAAATTATGGGGTATGCACTGTGATGGTTATTCCCTTTGTATTACGTCTCCTTTGAGGCCAGCATTTGTGGCTGATTGATCTATGTGGCCTCTGCCTCCTTTTCCCACCCAGCACCTAGTACAGGCCTAGTAAAAAAGGGTGGCAATAAGTGTTTGCTAGATGAATGAATAACTGCCTAACCCCCTCATTTGTAGAGGGAAAAAAAGAGCCCCAGAGAGGATCAGGAACCCGCCCAGGGCACCCAGTAGGCAGTGGCAGATCCCAGACCTTCCTTACCATCTTGGGGGTGCTTCCTAGAGCAGACGGTTAAGGAACACTGACCTTTGACAGGCCCCATGTGGCCCAGGTACTCGCAGTGGCTGCTCCAGTGGTCCAGGGTGGTGAGGATGTGACTGGGGTCCCCAGGCAGGGCATGGGTGAGCACATAGCTGAAGGCCCGCTCCTCAATCCGCAGCCCTGAAAGGCAATCTCGGAGGCTCCGCAGCAAGACCATACGCACCAGCAGTCGGAAGTAGTGCCGGTACCGCACCAGCAATGTCACCACCAGGGGCAGGAAGGCCAGTGCGATGGCGGGGGACATGGTCCCTACCAGGACTGGGTGTGAAGGGAGGCAGGGAGGGAAACCCACACGCATCATTGCTTGTCATTTGTATTATCTCTATATTTTAAAGACCATAGCTCAAAAGAGACTTTTGTTCAGAGTCACACAGCAGAACTGGGATTTGAATCTGAATTGGTCTGATTTCAAGCCCATGCACTTTCAAGGACTTCATGCTAGTCTATGTTCTGCACCCACACCCAAGCCACCTTTTCCCACTTCTACCCCTTGGTCCTATCTTCACCTTCTTCTACCTGTTTCTCCTCATTTCCTCATCTCTGAACTGCTTTCGCAGACCTCCTCTGAGATATCCTCTACCCTCTCCACCCTCTGCCTTTTCTTCTCTGACCCATTAATGTAGAGCAAAAGAGCACAGATTTGTAGTCAGAAACCCCTTCAGGCCCTATGTGCTGCCTTAGTAGAAGGCAATCAAAACACTCCATAGAGTGTTAGAATGAGATTTCTTCCCACCCCTCCATCTGGTCTTCTTTGAGGGTGGGAGGAGTCCTTGATTCTATATCCTCTCCAGTCCTGTTTCCCCTCCCCTGCATTCAGCTTTTCTGTTCTCTCTCAGAATTCCTTTTACAAGTGTAAACACACACAGCACACAGCCCCCTCACTTAAGCCTCTTCTTCTTGCTGGCCCCCTATAGGGGTAAGTGCCTTCTCCTTTGGCTTGCCCTGGACCATCCTCCCTTTCCTCCAGATCTGCCCCTTGTGAGGCCCCTGGTGATGGTGGGGACTGAAATTGAAAGTAAGAGTGTATAAATGGATGTGAGTAGGTGAGTGATAGTGAGTTTGAACTGATGTGCTTGGGAACCCACACTCAAGAGCCCTGCTTACCTGGGCTGGAGGCTCCTGCTTGGGGACGATCAGAGCATAGGAAAGGAGGGGGAGTCCTTGGGGCCGGAGAACCCTGAGGCAGGCTGGACCTGCTTTCAATTATTGATGCAGAATTGCTGCTGCCACCTGAGACCTGCAGTTCAGGTTACTAGCTGCAGGAACAAGGTGGGGCTGACTCTTACCCTTCTCAACTCCTGAAAAAATTGTACCGAACTGCAGGGTCTTGATCTGAGCGGTAATAAGAGCTACTGGGTTTGGTGACCTCTCTTCTAACTCCTTGTATCAGGACAATGGGGCATGGTGTGAGCCAAAGTGATGGGAGGCTGTAATTTACTCAATTCAAAATTCAACTTTTTGCTAAGCAAATGCCAGGATGTGGGTTGCAGAGGGGAGTCAGGTCTTGCCCCCTTCCTCCAGGAACTCCGAAGATACTGAACGAAGATACTGATCCAGAAATGTAGAATAGACATAATGCAGTGCTCCATAGATACAGGGACTTTGGGCTGTTTTGTGAACTGCTATGTATCTCTACAGAAGGGTGTGTGGCACATCAGAGACAGTAATTTTTTTAAAAGATTTTTATTTATTTGACAGAGATCACAAGTAGGCAGAGAGGCAGGCAGAGAGAGAGAGAGAAGGAAGCAGGCTCCCCGCGGAACAGAGAGCCGGGTGTGGGGATGGATCCCAGGGCTCTGGGCTCATGACTTGAACCGAAGGCAGAGGCTTTAACCCAATGAGCCACCCAGGCACCCCGAGACAGTAATTTTTGATAAGATAAATGAAGGAATCAACATGACAGGAATTAGGCACAGGAAGCTAGACATTCCCAAATAATGGGATTGAAGATGGCAATCAGGAAAATACTGTTTGTAGTGAGGGTTTAAGACAGAAGACAGACCTGGTGGGGAGACAGTGTTCCAGGCACACATGGAATGTCCAGGTCAGTTAGGGAACTGCAAATATTTTCTTATGGCTAGTGAGGCTTCACTCCAATCATCCCTGCACCGCCACCACAATCACTACTAGTCTCCATGATCCAGATGCTGGAATGGAAGGCAGGTGAGAGGGTCTGCAAGATCTTGAATGACATACGTGGACCTGTGTTCAGCGTCCAAGAGAAGCTATGGGATGGTTCTAAGAAAACATCATTGTGTTAGATTACTACGATTGCTGTAAAAAGGCCATTAAGATCGACGAGAAATGCTTGAGGGCAAAGCCCGTGAGGCGCTCTCTCTCTTCCAGGATTGAGCTCTGCTCCGGTTTGCGTAGGAATAAGGGCTTTTCTTCCAATAAGTCTCCGATCCTCAGTAGATGCTGAGAACTCCGTTGGGCGCCATACTCTTTAGGTGTTCACAACTGCGGGCTGGGCATCTGGGTCCAAAGTTTGTATACAAACATTGTTGTGCTCTAGGAGCATGGGGCCTCAGTCCCACTCGCCCCTCGCATGGTATTTAGGGAAGCAAATCATGATAGCATTTGGTATAAGTTCACTCATTGCCTCAGAAAGGTAGCCTGGCCGCCACCCCACCACATACTAGGAGGACCTCTAGAGCCGGCGGAAGAAAACGCGAGCTCCAAGAGTGGACAGGGGCTGAAGTCATGTGATCCGCCCCCCCTTTCATCGCGTCGCGTGTCTTGCGTTTGTCAAGGGAGGTGAGCCTCCCTATTGGTTGGCGGTGATCACGCGGTGGAGGCGGGGCCGGAAGCCAGTATTGCGGCGGCGGCGGCGCGACTCTGGGAAGGGATAGGCCGGGAGGCGGGTGGCTGCTTGCTGGATGTAGCCACGGGTCATGTGACCGGAAGGGCTCCCGTCGGACGCCGTCCCTCCTCGGCGCGGCCTGAGTGCCCGGCCCGACCCCGGCCATGGGGTGCTGCTACAGCAGCGAGAACGAGGACTCGGACCAGGTGCGGCCGCGGCGGGCGAGGTTCGGGAATGAGGGTTGAGAGGCTGGGGCGTGGGGCCCAGAAGAAAACCTGCAGAAGAGCGGGAGTAGGACTGCGGGGTTCATATAGTACGGAGGCCGGGAGGGGACAGACTACAGAGGGGACGCCTGGCCAGGCTCCTACCCCTGTTAAAGCCCCAGCTTCTCCACAGTCTCCCCAGTGGGGTGTGCAGGAACCCGTCTATCACGCTCGCCCCACCCTTTCATCTTATCCCACCCTTAAACCTTTATAGCCTTTAGGTTCCTCAACCTTGGTCTCTGGGAAGCACTGCCTTCCCAGCTTTATGTGCTTTTTCTGTGCTTGTGTGAGCGGGCTTTGTGAATCCATTCTAGAGATGGGTAAGCTGATGCTAAGAGTTCATTTGTCCTGACATGAATCAGGAATTGGTATAGGCTTTCAGCCCCTGGGGTTGAAGAAGTAAGGTCACTGCTGGTTTGTGGTCAGAGAAGGCCTCTGGAAGTAGGTGGCATTTGAGTTGACCAGCGAAGAATTTGGTAGAGACAGTGAAGACATCGAGGCATTTGGGAAGCTACAAAGTGGGTTTCCGCCTTGACTGGATTAGATTAGGGAGGCAGGATGGGGAGCTCAGTTTGGCCTGCCTCAGTGCAGTTTTTGCTTGGGGCCTGAAGGTTCCTTCAGCTAGAGAGGGGCCTGTCCTGGGAATTTGTAGATCTGATCCTTTTGCACAAGGGACTAGGCTGAGAAACCTGTGCAGTTTTAAATTCTCCCTCCTCTTCTTGGTGCATTCTCACTTCCCACCTTAAACCTGCCCTGCTTGCTTGATCTCCTTTTAGGAGTGGGGAGACCTTCCTGAGGATGAAGTCTCAAGCTTTTGGCCACTCACCTTTTTTATTATCTCTAAGTTTGGATTCTACATTTCAACACATTCTAGACACAGGATAGAAAGATTTCAGCAAGTAGCTCACAGTCTGGTGGGGAAGATGGTCACAGAAATGGATTTTGTTACTGGTATTTGGGAAGTAGGTCTTTCCCCAGTGACTCACATGAACCTATTTTGGGTTAAGGACTTAGGGTTAGGAAAATATCATTTGTATAAGAAGTATGGGTGACACCTGGGCCTCATTAATTTCCGAAACACTCAGTGAACACATACTCTTATTTCCTATGCCTTATGTTAGGCATACCTCATGCCCACTATCCCTCACTTTATTCCAGCCTCCTAGAGGAGACAGTATTCTTGCCTACTGGGAAAACTGTGGGAAATTGTGCCCTAAAGAGTAAAACAGACTTTTGGAAGGAATGAAGGGTTCAAGAAGGGGTAGTGCCTTTTAAGAAAGGATACAAGCTTCTAGTTTGCTGCTCTCCTGATTTTCACTTTTTTTTTTTTTTTTTTTTTAAAGATTTTGTTTATTTGACACAGAGATCACAAGTAGGCAGAGAGAGAGCTGGAAGCAGGCTCCCTGTAGAGCAGAGAGCCCGACGCGGGGCTCGATTCCAGGACCCTGGGATCATGACCCGAGCCAAAGGCAGAGGCTTAACCCACTGAGCCACCCAGGTGCCCCTGATTTTCACCTTCTTGACAGACTCTCACTTCTGTTTTTAACCCCCAGAATGGTGCTTGATCTGTGCTGATTTAAGGCTTTGTGTGGCAAAAGTCTATGCCATACCATTCACTAAGAGTCCCTCTCTCAACTCTTGGACAGGCCCCTCTCCCACTCTCATCTCTGCTCCTTTATTTTAATAAAGAATGTATGATACATTTTTCAAAGGCCTTTATAGATCTTTCATTTGATTTTTGTGAAATGTTTTGTCATATAGGTACAGGTTGTGTATTTAATGGCAAGAAGTAGTTTAGAGAGACTAAGTGGTCTAGCCAATGATACAGAGCTGAGTAGTGCCGTAGCCATGGTGTCTTGATACCAAGCCATGTGCTTTATCCATTGGGCCAAGCTGTCTCTTTGAGCTGTGCCCATAGACCAGGTGGGTAGTCATGGGCAGGCCACATATATGTGTCTGTGCTAGGGTAGATGATGAAATCCTGACCCCTGGGTTGACACTGACTCAGGGACAGACTTAGGTGTGAAAATCCCCTCCATGCTACACTTGGCCTTCTGTGAGGGGGTGAAGTGAAGTGATTTGTCCACTGTGATGAGGGTAGCCTGGCCTCTTCTGGGAGTCTAGGTCTCAGGAAAACAACATTGTTCTTGAAGAACCCCTGGTGGGGGGAAAACTGCCCTGTCCTGCAGGAAGATCTGTCTGAAGTAGGGCTGGGGGAAGGATGACACACAGGAAGCAAACTCAGGGTTCATTAAGGAGCCAGCTTTCTTTTGAGATAGTTTGATCTCTGGCAAGCATTTTGTCTTTCTGGCCCTTTCACACTTAACCTGTGTTTTAAGGAGGAGGGGCTGTGTTGAGGAGTTGGGAGGTGATAGGGCAGAATCCCACAGCTCTTGTCTCGTGTTGTTGGAAACTGAGGACACGTGGGCAACCTAGGCTTTAGAACAAAGAGTACTGTCAAAAGGCTGGGCCTGCCTAGGGTGGGGCAGGCCAGCAGGAGGAAGTGGCCCCTCTGTAAGGAACGCTGTGGCCAGGGGAGCCAGGAGCCTGCAGTGGGAAGTTTTGTGGTAGGAACTGAAAGTGGCCTGGTGTGGAGCGCTGGTGGTCTGGCATTGAGAGTTGGTGAGTCAGCATTAGGCAGGACGGGCCCCTTGTCCTTGGCTTTGTCCTGGGCACCCTTGCTCTTTACGGCTTGGATAGATACCCAGCAGGTCTGCTTATCCAATTTGTAGCTGACACCAAGCCAGCGGGGATTTGCAGTGGTTGGGCTCAAGGCAGGGTCATATTCAGAGAGATTGCAGTAGATGAGGATGAAGAGAAATATACACAGAATTGTGAGGGACCAGGGAGACTTGGTCTGGCCCAAGGTTAGTTCTGGGGGGTGTGATGATCAACGTAGGTGACTGAAAAAGCAGAACCACACTACTAGAGGTGTGCTGGCATGGTAAGGGAGGGAGCAGCTCCGTTGTCAGGTCTGGCTTCACCAGGTGCATCAAGTTTGGTTCTGGGAGTCGTGTATGAAGAGAGCATCAGAGGAGAGTGAACACTTCAGAGTAGAAGGGACCTGCCCTCAAGAAGGGGGCACAGTGGGACTCTGTGACCCAGAGGCTGGGACTCCTGTCCCGGCATTATACGAGGAATAGAATTGTCTGGGGGATCTCCTGACCTGCATCAGGCAATAGAATGTTCTCTGAAGCTCTAGAGGTGTTACTGGATACATGCTTTGTGCCTCTATTCATCTTTTCAGGGCCTCTAGAACTGCTTGGTTCCACTCTGATTCATCCCAGACCACCAACTCAACTGAGCTCCCAAGGGCAGGCAGGACTGAGCCTTAGCTGACATTTCATACACTTAGGCACTTAGGATATTTCTTGGTGGTTAAAGGTCAGAGGTGGGCTGAGAGGAGAGCCCAGGAAAGGCAGGTGTTAGACTAAAGTCTCCAGGGCCGACTTCTCCCCTTTGGCCTCTCCTAGGACCGAGAGGAACGGAAGCTGCTGCTGGACCCTAGCAGCCCCCCTACCAAAGCCCTCAATGGAGCCGAGCCCAACTACCACAGCCTGCCTCCCACTCGCACAGATGAGCAGGCCTTGCTCTCCTCCATTCTTGCTAAGACAGCCAGGTGAGCACCACAGGCCCAAGCCTGGGCAAAGCTTCACCATCCATGTTAAAGGATGGGATAGAGGAACTGTGTGGCCCAGGACATGGGGGATGGGCAAGGTCAGTGGCTAGAGGTGCCTCTGGGCCCAGCCCTGCTCCACTGGGCAGGCAGGGATACTGGTGTCAGATAGCCCTGGAGTCGGCACTTGGCAGTGAATCCTGTGTGTCCCTCTTGAAGCACCTGTCATGTTCCCTCTGCCTCTTCTCCCCAAAGCAACATCATTGACGTGTCTGCCGCGGACTCCCAGGGCATGGAGCAGCATGAGTACATGGACCGGGCAAGGCAGTACAGGTGAGGCCCGGCCAGCTTCGGTGGCCCCCACTCAGGCTACTTGGGCTCCTCCCTGCCCCTCCACCCCTTACCCAGCTTTGGAGCCTGAACCCCAGTCCAGGCTTCTTGTTTGGGTGCAGCGCATGAGACTGACAGCAAATCTCTGGTACCACACAGATGTTCATGTCAGCCCTGTTTGCCCCTTGGCCCGCAGGGATGCGGAGGCAGAGGGAGGTGGGCCTGGAGCAAGTCGTGGTGAGCGGAGGTGCCCGTCACCCTTCTTCTCTGGCCTGAAGGAACAAGGCTTGCCTGGGCTGGGCTGGGCTGGGCTGGGCAGAGCAGACTGGTCTGACTGCCCACTCCCATCCATCCTCTTGGCCAGCACCCGCTTGGCTGTGCTAAGCAGCAGCCTGACCCACTGGAAGAAGCTGCCGCCGCTGCCATCTCTCACCAGCCAGCCCCACCAAGTGCTGGCCAGCGAGCCTGTCCCCTTCTCCGACTTGCAGCAGGTGAGCCGCCCCTGGGCCCACCCCTGCCTACCCTTCCCTCCAGGCCCAGGCTGTGGCAGAGGGGTCACCTTCTCTGTCTCAGAGGCAGCAGGGAAGTGGAGTTAGGGAGCCTGGTAGCTCGAGTGCCCAACTCACTCTCACCTCTTGTACTTTGTATGTTCTTGTTTCTACCCTTATTTTCTTTGCCCCCCTTTGTTCTTTGCTGTCTGTCCCATCCCTGCCTTTCTCTTTGGCTTCCTGTCCCCCACCATCCCCTCCTCTCTCGCCACCCAATCTCTCTTCTCACTGCCTCTCTCTGTTCCTCTCGTCCCTGGCCCCTCTGTCCCAGGTCTCCAGGATAGCTGCTTATGCCTACAGTGCACTTTCTCAGATCCGAGTGGACGCAAAAGAGGAGCTGGTTGTACAGTTCGGGATCCCGTGAAGAGAGGGATCCTTGGACAGCTCTTCTCTTCTCTCCACCCCATCTCCACCCTGCCTCCCCTGGCGCCCAGCCTTACTGCGGCTCTCACAGCACCCTGACCTGCTACTAATCACAGAGAAGAGTGTGGAGGAGGAGAAGAGTGAGGCCGGAAGCCTCAGCACTTGAAGACGGAGCAAGGGAGGGCAGAACCATTTGGGACTGGCATTCAAAGCCCTGGCCAGGGATGGGGTGGGGATCAAAAGGTTAGGGCCTAGTAGGTCTTCACTGTCACTGGGAAGGTGGAGGTACCACTGTGAGGGTGATCCCTAGGGGGCCTGTGGGGGCCCTCTTCCCACCCTTTCTCTTGGCCTCACTCCTTTCCCCCCTCCCTGACTTGGTGCTCACATGCACCTCATGAGGGTTTATGACCAGGGTCTGGACGAGCTTGAATTTGAATGAATTGAGTTTGTATTTCTAGCACCCTGGGTTTTTACATGTTTGGGGTTTTGGGGTTTTGTTTTGGTTTGTCGCCCTCGATAAAGGAAGTGTATTCATCTGTGTGCTGGTTGCAGCCCCTCTGTCCTGCCCACCACCCTAGTACTTCTTGTCTGTGAGCAGTGAGATGGGGCGGGGGGGCACATCTTCTAGGGCCATTGAGAGGAATCCAGGAGATAAGGGTTCAGAGTTCCCAGGTCTTAGCTGGAACTTGGCCTGGGCTAACCTCAGATTGGATAAGACTGCTTGTTCCTTCTCCAGTGAATACTGAACAAACTGGAATCCAAGGCAGCTGTCACTGTTGGGGGCCCTGCTTCAGGTGCAGTGGAATTACCAACAAGCCCAGGGTTGAGGGGTAAAGGCAGACTAAGGATACTTGATACGGAGCCAGCAAGCCACTGTTTTCAAGCAGAAGATTCTGTTTATCTGAAGAAATCTCAAGCAGAACACCAGCATGTAAAACAGAGTGGAGCTACTCTGATCTGATTGAAGTGGGGGGTCTAGCATCTTCTCTGAGGTGTACCCACAGAAACTTGTGCTCTGTGAAGCAGCTCCAACCTCAGGTTATCTGAATTGAAGAGTTTTTTAAAAAGGGGGCCCAGAGAGATAAGGTAAGTTTCTCAAGACCATACAGTAAACCAGGTCAAAAGTTCTACGTCCCAGGCCAAAAGGCCTTTCCCTCCACTGCTTCCCTCCACTGGCAAAGTAAGACCGGAGCTACTGACCACTGTCTGAGGCAGAGGACGTTTGTACATGGCACAGGTGACTTCACATCTGCTCAACTGCTCAAATCGTTTATTGTTAAACCAAACTGACTGTCTTCAGCCTTTAGGACTGCTGGGGCCCTGGGAACCTCAAGAGTGCATTCTGCTTGATCTGGACCTTCTTGGGCTTGATGTTCATGCGTTTCCACACTTCTGCTGTGGCACGGTCTGCTTTGGTGACCCCGCTGAAGTCGAGTGTGGTGATACGGGGCAGGGTGCACAGCACATATTGCCTGTGGGGAAGACTTGGGCTGGGGGCCAACCCCCCACCAGAACCTCCTTCCCCCTCCACCAGTTGCTGCTCTCTCCCCTAACTGCAAGGAATGGAGGGACCAAAGGATAATTTCGGGGGAGACAGAGTCTCCCCTGGTGGATAGTAAGACATGCCAAAAGGTCTCCACTCCCTTCTCTGCCCCAGCATGGCAGAACACTGGTGTTGGATTTCTTCTCTCCCCACCTCCTTGCCCTCAGGGGAGCTCAGTTTCAGGGTCAGGGCACTCACCTATACCCCTTCTCTTCCTCTATGGGATTCCCGTGGAGTGTCAGGCTCCGGAGCCGTGGGAGGACAGCCAGCTTGTTCACCTCTCCCAGGCGCTGGATGCTGTTGCCATGGAGATAGAGTACACTGAGGTTGAAGAAAGTTGTCAGGACCTGTTGGGGAAGGAAACCAAAAGCCAGGATGGGCAGGGCCCTGGATTGGTGCTCAGGACTGACTTGTGGGCAAAGAAGGAAGAGTCTGGGAAACAACTTGCTTTCCAGTCTGCCACCCCCCTGCAGCCATTCTGGATAACTCTGACCTACTTATTGTTTAACTCTGAATGGATACAGGGGTATCATGTTGGCACAGAACTGTGGTCTGAGGGGCAGGAGGTATGGACCTGCAGCCTAGCACAGCCACTGATTTGCCAGGTGACTAGGCACTCCTGCTCCACCCCGAGCTTCAATTGCCCCTACACTGAAGACCTTTTTAGCGTTGGAGATCTAAGATTCTTTCACAACAGGGGACAGGGATAGCATCTCGCTAGGTACAGAAGAGAAGCTTTCAAAATTGCAATTACAAAATTAAAATCTACAACCCAGGGAATCATTTCCAGCTCATGCTCTAGCTGCTTTTTCCCTCTGGTAGGGATCCTGGACAAGAAAAGGTCAATGTGTTTATTTCTTAAAACTTGAGTCTGAGTTCATGGAAAATAAGTGCTGTACTTGATCTACCTCTTCCACAGAAAAACTCTGCACAAGGCACAGTGGGTGCCTGATAACAAAAGCTGTTGTGTTATTGCGGCCTGCTACATGCCATTTGGCTTTCATAATTCTCATTTAATCCTCACAAAACCTTTATGTTTTGTGGGAGCACATGCTCCTCATTTTTTCAGACAGGGAGGCTGGGATTTTGAAAGGTGGGGTATCTTGCGCAAAGTCCCACAGTAAGAGACAAACCTAGGATTTGAACCTACGTCTGTCAGAGCCCACAGCCATGTACTTGGACAGCAGCCTGCTGCTGCACTACTTCCTGAAAGACATGTGGGAGATGGAGAGGCTGGGGGCTGGACAAGGTGGCGTCGGGCCCACCCTGACTAGATGCTCAGTGCTGGGGACTCACAGGGTCGATGGAAGTCAGGTCATTGAAGGACAGGTCGATCCAGGCCAGGTTCTCTGGATGCTCCAGAAGCAGTGAAATCACATGGCTAAAGTCTCTGAGGTCATTGAGGACATTGTTGTTCAGCCACAGGGACTGGGTCAGTGACTTCCCTGACTTTGAGTGCCTTAGTGGTCGTAGCCCTGTCCGTGGCTCCTCGCTCATCAGGTCTGTGGGGACAGTGAGACATGGGTTATTGTATCTGCTTTTCTGCCTTAGGGGTGGGAAGGAACAGCTGGGAGGATTTACAGCCTGTGCTAGAGCTGGGGGTGCTGGCAGGACCATAGCCTCATGCTTGAGTCTGGTATCACTCCCACAGGCCCCAGGAGTCCAAGTAAACTTGGACTAAGGGTCAAAGACTTGCCATCCCAAATTCTTGGTTTGCATCCCATGGTCCTCTCATGTCTCTCCTATCATTGGGTCCTCTATATGCCACCCCTTTTGGGAGTGTAGGAGGCAAAGTCATTCCCACTTTATGGAAACTAAGAACTATAATTGTCAGACTTGACCAAGATGATTAAAGCACAAAATCTAGAATTATCCACTGGTAGAGCCTAGAGCATTCACTTCAGTACAACACCCTCTGATGTCCCTCTCGCATTACTGCTAAGCAACTGTATGTGCCAGATACTGGATGTATAGTGGTAAACAAAGTGGGAAATGGTCTGTGCCAAGTTCTGGATGAGTAACAGGGTAGGGATGAGGCAGATTTTGTGCCTTGGAGGAGCTCATATAGGCAGGATGAAAACAAATTGTCAATGTGATAGTGACGGAATCATAAAGAAGGACTCCTAGTCTGGGAACTCAGGGAAGTCGAAACCTAAGATCGAGTTCAGTGGATTAGGAGACCTTAACCAGGCAAAGGGTGGAAAGGGTGAGAGTGGCACCCAAGCAGAGGCACAGAGGTGGGAAAGGGCGTGTATGCACGTACTGCGCAAGGTGGGACACGGAGCCAAAAGCCAAGGAGGCTTGAACGCCAGGCAGAGTAGTTTGGACTTTATTCTGTAGGTGATGGGAAGCCATTGGAGGGTTAAAGCAAAGGATGATCCAAATCTTTCATTGCAAAAAGATCATTCTGAAGCTTTAGTGTGGAGATGGATTAAAGGGAGTGGGTGGGACTGGAAGACCAGTGTGGCTCTTTTCGGTCATCCAGGCAAGAGATGAGCGGGAGAGAATCAGCATGACTTCATGGTTGACTGGATGTAAGGGTAAAGAATAATCAAGGGCGGTGCCCAGTTTCTTATTTAGGGGACTGATAAGGAATTAGAAAAAGACAAACTAAGGTTGAAAAGGTGAGGAGTTTAAAAAAAAAAAAAAAGGAAAAGGAGTTTAGCCTTGGCCTTGGTGTGTATCTGAGGCTCCTGTAACAAAGAGGTGAAGAAGCCAAGCAGGCTCTTGGGTACGAAGGTCTGAAGCTCCAGAGATGGACGAGAATCATTAGTATAGAAGGTGTAAAAGTTAGAGAAATAGAGGGGATTCTACATGGAGAGTGAGGGTAGAGAGGAGGAGAGTGAGGGTAGAGAGGAGGGACAAGGGGGAGGGGGCGTCTATTAAATAATGATGAGTAATGAGGGAAGGACAGGGAGGCAGAACCACAAGAAGGTAATTTTTACAGATGCTCAGGGAGTTCATAGTTTAGAGGAGTGAATTTCAAGGAGATAAGGACTGAAAAGTAATTTTGGCAACTCAAGCCCTTGGTGATCCTGGTGAAGGCTGTTACAATGAAATCACAAGGGCCTGCGGCCAGAAGCTACATTGGACTGAGTTCAAGAGTAAACAGGTTAAGGAAATCTAAGCAAGTAGTGTAAACAACACCGTCAGAAAGTTCAGCCCGAAAGTTTGGCCCTCGTCAGAAAGTTCGGCCGAGGAGAGAGAATAAGGAAAACAGGGATGTTATAAACCATCTGTGTAGATCCCCCCACCCTTTCTGACAAATGAGGTCCGGAGAAAGGCTGGGTCCTGCCCAGACTCATAGTGGCAGAGCCAGAACCAGATACTGGTTATGGCTGAGGGGACTATATATTTCCTCTTGCCCCAAGTCTCTCATTACTTGTCTAAAGCTGCATCCGGGGAAGAAAGTATTGGATTTGCTGAAGCTGGCTGGCTGTCTTTCACTCCCCTGAGCTCTTGCTGGACACACTTCCTTCTACCTCCACCCAGTAGTAACTTCCTCTCCTCCTCAGCTGCAGGTCAGCCAGCATCCACCAGATGGCTCTCTGCCTTAGTGCTGGAGTTAGCAGGAGCCACAGTCACGGCCTGAGGTTGGGGGGGAGGTGGCAGAAGGGCGCTGGAGCACAGTACTCCAGCTCGCGAATGAGCTCCTAATCCTGCCCCCGGCCCCAGCATATCCTGAGAACTCCCAATGAAACGACACAGCTGAATAAAAGGGTTAAAATAAACCCACATATAGATTAGCATCCAGCCTGATGAGGCAAGCTTGAGGAATGCCACTCAGCATGGGCGGCTCTCCAGCTCAGAAGTAGCCACTGGTGGGACTGTGTTGCCGAAAACTTAAGCTCCCATCTGGGCTGCCGGGTATCAAGAGTGGAATGGGGTATCCCACTGCTACAGGTTTCTGTTCCCTTCAGATTCCACCAGGGTACTGCATTGCTTAAGGATCTGTTGAAGCTGCCTAGTTCAGAGTAGGCCAAGGCAGGTCTGGAAAATGGAGCACAGATATCAGTGCCCAAAGAACTGGGGAGTGCCTAGCTCCAGGCACACCAGAAAAGCATGATTCTGTCTTCTATTTCTGAAGGGTTGCCACAAGACTTTTCCATGTTTCCCTAGAGGGTGGGAGTTAGTTTGATAACTTCCTCACATCATCCCTCACCCCATAATGGAAGGGGTTGGTAAGTATCTCATGGCAGACTCTCTACTGTAGGTTCGTGAGAAGTCAGAGGTCTATGGGTTGGATGTGGTCTAAAGTCCCCAGCATTTCAGAATCTATAATCCATCTACTGATTACTTTAGCAAGTAGTCTATCAAGTAGTCCCAGATTCTTTCCACAAGCTCCGGGGAACCTGAGGGGACTGGCCTTTTGGGGGCTGGATATGTTTCTCCTGTTCCCCTCCTTACAAGACACAGCAAGGAACCTGGCAGGTGTGTATACATGTGTACTTACTAAATAGTAGATGCTCAGTAAATATTTAACCATTGAACGAAGGAGCAGACATCTGTATGGCCCATGGTTTGTGCTGTGGAGTTACCCGTGGTTGTAGTGGATGTTTTCTCCCCTCATTTTGAAGGTTCCACAGAGTGCAAAGCAGTGCAAAGCTCTATTTTCCCACTCAGAGCTGGGAATGCCCAGGTTAGGCAGGAGCCATACTTCATCACCTGCCACCTCAGCTATCTCATACAGGACCATCACAGCTAAAACCCTTGTGAATCAAAGACTACGTCAGAAGTGATGCTGTGCACAATAAATAAAGATCACAGTGGGTCGGTGTGTGCTTCTGAGAGAATATGAGTTACCACTGTGGCTGGTGCAAACCCAGTAGTATCCCAAACTCAAGCCAGGACTCGTACCTCCTGGATAACTATTTGCCGTCTTCCTGAGCTTAAAAGGAGCTCCCAGTTGCCTGTGAGAGAAAACCGAAGCCAGATCTGGGTCTAGGATATGTGGGTGCCAGCATGGGTTCTGTGAGAGCAGATGTACAGTGCATTTCTGAGAAGCCAGAAAGCCAGATAGCAAAAGCCAGGGACAGAACTTCCTTGGGAAGAAGCATCTTCCTCTGAGAATAGGATACTGCTAAGAGCCTCCCTGAGCCACCTATTTCCAAAGAAACTCAATAATAAAATGGGAATGAGCTTGGGCAGTGCTGGAAGCTGCAATAATTGTGGGTGATGATGGAATAAGCTTGGGTAGGCCTGGGATAAGCATAAGGTGTTTACTAATAAATATTTAAACTGGAAACATGCCAGTTGTTAATAATGAGACCCTGCATGTTTTACCAGTGATCAGAATAGGCTTGTGTCCTCAGAGGAGATAGGATTCTGCCTGTGTTTTCATTCATTTCTTCCTCTCTTCAGGTAAAGACAGGAGAATAAAACCATTGGCTGATAAACTGGTTTCCCACTATTCTTCCACCCGACTTTACTGCTGTAGCAGGGATTCTTTTGAAGGTGATCAGTTACCCCTTCCACTCTTGCCACCTCCTTACCCCCTACTCCTCTCAAAAACGTCAAAAAAATCTACAAGCACACAGGAAGACTCTCTTTAGGCTCTTAAGTAAAAGACTGGTCTCTCCCTAGGGACCATACCCAGCCTGTTGCCATGGTGAGTGGAGTGCTGTGCTCTGTGGGCTGACCTTGGATCACGTGGATGCTTCGGAAGGAGTAGTCAAGAGGGGGCTCTTGCACCGAAGTGTTCATATAGTCCTGTCTGCTCATAGCTCAGGCCATCATTTGTCAGGTGTAAGCACTGGCCCTGGGAGTCCGGGTTCAGCCTGGGGGTGATAAGAAGAACTGGTATTCCAGGTACAAGGGGCTTAGGCTTCCAGGTATCCCCAGAGCCCTGCACCCTTGCTTTCTGCCCTCCACCACCCCAGGCTTGCCTGGCTGCATTTCTATTTTAAAATAGTAATCACCATTCCTTGCATTTGTAGGGCACTTCCTACTTCTCAGAACACCTTTACATCCCTTAGAGCTTATTGATAGTTTTAACACCCATTTCTGCTTTCCACACGAAGAAACTGAGACCCCAGGGTGAAAGCACTTGCCCAGAGTTAAGCCAGTGAGTCAGTGTGGACTGCAATCATACACTCCTGAATCCTACTCTGAGGCCCTTTGTGCTACTCCACAGTAGTTACCATGGAGGCTGTCTTGGTACCTACACTCCAGTGACATCAACTGGGCTATTCTATTGCTTAACAAACCCCGGAGGGCCTGCATTGGACCTGGTGTCTGACAGCCCTTTGCCAGTCCCACCCCACTGGGGATTTGCTACCTTCTCTGCTCAGCTTGTCTGTCAACCCCACTTCTCCATCAAAAGACCCTACTTTCGTCCACATGCCAAATGTACTCCTACGTATATAAGCACCTACACATCAAATCAGAGTCTACCTCACTCACTCACCTGTCACCAATGCCTGAAACTCCACCATTAGGGATTCATTCCTTTGGGTTCAGGGATTGTTTTCTGTTAAAATGGAAATACCCATGAGAGGGGTGAACACAATGTTATCAATTGTCTTATCAGATCCTTTCCAATTGGTTAGCTCAAGTAAAGCTGAGAAATTTTCAAGAGGCTGGGGAAGTGAGAATACTACTCACCTGGGAAGAAGAAAGCTCAAAACACACTTTACCAAGGGGTTTTCTATGTGACAGGTACAAATAAAAGACACATAGACTGACAAGGACATGTCCCAGTCAACCTCCCCTTCCTCACTTCATCCACTGCTGTCGTTACCTTTGCTCACTACTTCACCTGGTTTCCAAAATGATTTGAGGTAGTTCGTAACAACACACTCATAAAACAGGATGATTTCTTAGAGAACAGAGCTGTCCAACTAAATATAATGAACACTGCAAATGCAAGCCACATATATAATTTTCTCACATATGTAATTTAAAATTTTCTAGTAGCTATAAAAAGAAAAGTCAAAAGAAACAGGTAAAGCTTAATATATTTTATTTAACCCAATATATCCAAAATAATACTCAACATATAATTGCTATTAACAATGGAGATATTTTACAGAAGCTACCTGGCAAGTGCACAACAGCCACAGGTGACTAGTGGCTACCAGACAGGGCAGATGTAGGAAATGGAAACCATGGAAGAGAAAGATCGGAAGGTAGATTAAAGGAAGACAAAGAGATGTACCACAGAATTAGGAACTGGCCTATGTTATCTCTGAAATTCCTGGCAGCCAAAGTAAAAAAGGAAACTTTAGGATATGCAGTTCTTACCATTTGATTCAAAGAAGCAAATAGATTGTATGCAGAAAGTGAGATCCACACATTTTCTTAAAATGATTTCTCTTAAAAACCATGGACTTGATAGTGTATAATTCCACTTAAGTTTAATACAGTTTGACTAATTTTTGGTGATTTAACATGTACAGGAATGGAAAGTGAATGTCTTCCTCTCAAAAAGCAGCAGTCTCAACCATGCTTTGTGGAAGTGCCACCTTGAGTCACTTCACAGTTGAATTCTCTGTCAAATCAGGACTGGCCTGGTGGGTACAGACTTAATTAGGGAGACTAGCATCTTTTAGTTATCAAATATACAGACAGACAACAAAGAACACAGACTTTTCTGGAAATAGAGGAACCTGGCTTGTGTTCTCCCCTAAACAGAGAAGCCCATTCCATTAGAGCACCTACAACAGTTTTGATGCCTTTGAGCAAGACTAGATACTTTTTTCAAAGTCCTGGGTTGGGACCCCAGAGTTCTGCACTACTGGACATGGATTTTAGCTTAAAATATTTAAGGACAGAATTTTACCATTAGTTTCCTTGACCATCAGAGAACCTAACTCAGTGCAGTTCCTAAGAACTTCTGACTTTGTGTTATACCAACTCCTGATGTATTTTTCTGGATGAGTTAGTATTAAAAATGCAGCCCTCAGTAGTTTAGATAAATTTGCCAGTTGGAAATGGTTGTTATTCTTCTCCATTTCAATAGTAGCCCAGACTGTGAGCTAGCACTGTGTCTTATTCATCATCTGACACAGAACCTGGCTTACAACAGGCACTCAAGAAATGCTTGTGGGAGGAAATGAATGAGAAACTGCCAAATACAAGGCTTTCTGTTTTGCTAGTGTTGATGGTAAGCTGCTCTTTCTAACAATTGGCTCCCAGGTTCAGCTTTTTCAGTCCACACCTCATTCACAGTAAGAAACTCAATTCAATTCTGCAAACATTTATGGAGTGCCCACTGCCCTATGCCTGACCAGAAGGAATGAAGCCAAGATAACAAATAAGAGAACCCTGTCTGTCATGAGCACAGAAAAGCCTGCTAGGTTTCCATTGATTGTGGCAACCAGCCTGCATCCAGTTCTAAGAAACAGCTGCCTACTTAGTGAATATTCTGTTTTAATACTCAAGCCTAGTGTACCCTCTTTGATGAGGTCTGTCTTTCCAGATAAAATTGATCGTGTTCTGTGGTAGATTGATTCCCTTGATTATTCCTATTCCTGGTCTCCCTGGTATCTATTTTTTTGCCCTATAACTCTGTAGTTCTATCCACTCTGATGCTGGGCTCAGCCATGTGACTTGCTTTGGCCAGTGGATGTTAGTAAACATGAAGCAAACAGAAAGCTTAAAGAGAGGGCTTGCCCTCTTGCTCTTTGCCTGTGCCAAGAGAAAATGGCTACCCTGCTGGAGGGATGTGACAAACATATGCAGGTGAATTATGGGCAGAGAGTTAGTGTTCCCAGCTGAGGCCATCCTAGACTAGCCAATAGCCAGCCTACACCAATTCAAAGTTCAGGATAGTGACAGGTGCCTGCAGACACATGAATGAGCCCAGCCAAGACCAGAAGAAACATATGGCTGACTTAGAGACTTGGAAGCAGTAATACAGATCATAAGTCACTATGGTTTTTGGATGGTTTGTTACACAGCAATAGCTAACTGATACATACCCCTACTGCACTTTGAATAACGTTTTATCAAAGACCGTTTCCTCATCTGTAAAATGGAGACAAACCTATCTTGAGAGCCATTGTATGTCCTGCAGCAGGTGCTAGTACTAATACACTGAAGAAGTTGTATTATCTGTACTCATTTCTTTTTTCCCTTTTTAAAAAAGATTTATTTATTTGAGAGCATGCACATGTGAGTGGGGGAGGGGCAAAGGGAGAGAATATCAAGCAGACTCCCCACTAAGTGGGGAACCTGATGTGGGGTTCAGTGCCATGACCCCGAGAGTTCAAGTTCAATTTCTGTTCAAGACCTGAACTGAAATCAAGAGTCAGACACATGACCAACTGAGCTACTTAGGCAACCAACCCTGAACCAGATACTTAACCAACCGAGCCACTTAAGCAACCAACCCCTCTTCCTAAAGTAGGCTCTATGCCCTGTGTGGCTTGAACTCATGACTCTGATCGAAAGTCACACACTCTACTGACTGAGCCAGCCAGGTGCCCCTGTACTCATTTCTTTATAAACTACCTCCTGTTCCTTCCCTATAAGCTCAAGGCCAGGGACAGAAGTCAGAATTCTTTCTCTCTTCCTACCATTACTCTGTACTGAGCCTGGCAAAGAGTGGGTCTTCACTAAAGTCTTGATGAACAAATGGATAATAGATAAATGAAAGAAATGAATTAGTGTCTTCAGGTGTCATATGGTATACCTGGCTGCTGGGTAGAACTGACAAAACCTTGAGGTTGCTTTGCTCACTTCAGAGCCTTGTTTGTATGCTTGTTTGTTTTTTAAAGATCTTATTTATTTGACAAAGAGAAAGCACAAGGAGGCAGAGCAGCAGGCTCTCCACTGAGCGGGGAGCTCGATGTGGGGCTCAATCCCAGGGCCCTGGGATCATGACCTAAGCCGAACGCAAATGCTTTACTGACTGAGCCACCCAGATGCCCCAGTGGTTGCATTTCTTTTTCTTTCTTTCTTTCTTTTAAGATTTTATTCATTTATTTGACAGACAGAGATCACAAGTAGGCAGAGAGGCAGGCAGAGAGAGGAGGAAGCAGGCTCCCCGCAGAGCAGAGAGCCCGACTTGGGGCTCGATCCCAGGACCCTGGGATCATGACCTGAGCCGAAGGCAGAGGCTTTAACCCACTGAGCCACCCAGGCGCCCCGAATTTCTGGAGTCAGTCTTTCCCAGCTGCTGTTCTGCCTCATGCCTAGTCAGATCCTAGTGCCTTCCTCATCTATCCAGACTGACTTGACAAATGACAAGTTTAGAGGCATACTTGTCTTGTTTTGGAATTTTTCCTTCCCAAATTGGAAATATCTTCTACTGGTTTTATTTTATTTTAAAAGTTAATATGATAGCTAAATAAAATCAAACAACATAGAGAAGTACATCAAGTAGAAACTAAAAGTCTGAGTCTCTATCTGACCAAAAACATGGTTAATATTTGGAATTATAACCTCTTAGAAGGGAGATATACAAAATTGTGTATATTTTAAAATAAACATATACTATTTGTAAATGTATTTTTAAAATTCTACTTTATAACTGGGATAACGGACATAAAGTGTAAATTTAGATGTACAACATATTGATATGATACATTTATACTAAATATGGTTGCCATTGTAGTGTTAGCTAACAATGTACTTTTTCTTTTTAAATTGTAGACTCATCCTTTTCTGAAAACATTTTTTTAAGATTTATTTATTTATCTGAGAGAGAGAGAGCATGAGCATGCTGTCATGAATGGAGGGTGGGGTGGAGGCAGAGGGAGAGGGAGAAGCAGATTCCCTGCTGAGCAGGGAGCCAGATGCAGGGCTTGATCCCAAGACGCTGAGATCATGACCTGAGTCGAAGGCAGATGCTTCACTGAGCACCCATGTGCCATGTGCCCCTAGACTCACCCTTTTTAATAACTGCAGAGTACTGAATAGAATTTGTGTGTATCCCACTTCATTTAGTTAAGTATAACCAGTCCCAGTTAATGAAAATTTGTTTTCAGTTTTTGAAGTTACTAACAACTGTAATTTCATTTGTTGTTAGCCTGTTTCTTTCCTCTCTTCCCTCTCTACTTACTCTCAGGTAAGTAGCAGTATGATGGCACAGGAAGTTTTGAGGAATAATCAGATAAGATCTGATAGGAGTCTGAATGGCCTGGCCTAGAGAGGATTTCTGTTTATGGGCTATAGGTGGGACAAAAATCAAAGTGTCATGAAAAGTCGGCCACATAATCTAGTGTATTCTGGGAGGTTTTATTCCCAGGTGCCACAGGGAAGTCCAAGATTCAACCTAGCTGCTGTCCTGGGGCAGTTTACTCCTTGGAACAAGTCCTTAAGCTAAACAGGCTGTAAACTCAAGTTAGTGACTTGGCTGGAAACTGGCAAACTGGGGTATGGTCCTAAGCTGTCACCGATTTGGTGTGTGGCCTTGGGCAAGTCTCTGTTCCTCTTTGGGTTTCAGTTTTCCAATCTGTAAAATGGGGATAAATATCCTTGACTCAAAACTCAAAAGAGAGACTGAATGTGAATGTGCTGGCTAAGTTGCCTAATATAATCTGTCA